CCCTCTGCCGCCTCTCGTCCTCGGCGGCCCGGCGGGCCCCCAGCAGCTCCTTGCGCTGGCGCTCCCGGGCCTCTGCGGCCTCCCGCAGCCGGCGGAGCGCGTGGGCCAGCTCCCTGCGTGCGCCGCCCTGCGCGTCCTCCGCCAGGCGCAGCTGCGCCTTGAGCTGCTCTGCCTTGGGGAGGGAAACGCGGTGCCCTCGTCCCAGCTCCGCTCCTGCCGGCAGCATGGAGCCAGGCTCTGCCGAGAGGACGGCAGGGACCGGTGGCTGTAGGGGGACCTCTTTTGGGACAGGGGAAGTGTCCCAAAGTGGTGACACAGGGGGACTCCAGGCTCTCCCTGCAGACCCAGCCACTCCAGGGTGTTTTTGGGAACCCCTGGCCCTTCCCCCCGCCCCACATGGGAGCCGCAAGTGAGCGGGCGCTTTCCGCTGAGCTCAGCAGAAACTCGCCCGGGAGGTCAGCGACCAGAGAAAGGGGCGATCCATCATTGAACCAACTGTTTTCATTTCCCAGGATAAAGGGGAGGAAGGAGGGTGTGTGTGTGTGGACTGGGACTGAAAAAAAAAAAAAAAAGAGAGGGAGAGAGAGAAAAAAAAGAGCAAAAGGCAGGAAAACACCCCCCTCATTCCCTGCCCTTAACAACCTCGGCCCCTTCCCCGCGCGGCGGCCCTGCGCGCTCGCAGCGCTTTTACAGCCAAAGCTCTTCATGTGATTATAGTAATTATTTCTTTACTCATTTTTTTTCCTCTTTTTTCCCCTTTTTTCATAAGCAGCCTCTTTTGAAACCTCGCTGGGGGAGCCAAGACTCCAGCTGAGCGCTGGCCCAGAGGAAGGAGCGAGGGGGCAGGGGAGCGTGTGAACGTGCGCACGCGTGCGTTCCGGCGAGCACACGAGCGCGCGGGGGCCTGCGCCCGCATGCCTCGTGGTGCTGGTGTCCGCCGGCAGCGCGGCCACGCGGGCCATGCGGCTCAGAGTGCTCGGAACGCGCTTGCCGCGGCCTCGCTCGCCGTCTCCACCCGCACTGTTGGCCCCCAAACGCCCCTTATCCCCTCGCCGCCTCCTTGTGCCACTCTCTGTGCTCCCCGTCACGCTCTGCCTGCCCACCGGGTCCCCGTGGGCCTCTGGGTGCCCCTCTAGCCCCCTCTGCGAAGCCCCGCTCTCCACTCTGCTGTGTGGTCCCCGCTCCAACCCCGGGCTTTGAAATCTGTTGAAAGGAGGCCATTTTCTGCCAAAATAAACAGCCTGTCATGTTAAATTACTCTCTCTTCCTCTCTAAGTCCCCCGACCCTCTCTCGCCTCCCTCCCCGGGCTGCCCTTTCGGCTCGGGGGCCGTCGCGCGGGGGGGCCCTTGCCCCCCCGCTGGTGGGCGGCCACCGCGTCTTCGAACCGGCCTTGCAGGCTCCTCAGCTCCCTGGTGATACTGGCCACCGTGTCCTAAAGGAAGGGAGAGACAGCGTGAGGGATATAGAGAGCTCAACGCGGCCCCCTCGCCCACTCCGGGCTGCCCCAAGTGGCTCTCACGCCACTCGCCTTGTCCCTTTGTGTTGCTTATGACCCAGGTGTCCACCTGGAGCAGGCCCCTCGTGCCGCGGGGCTGCTCGATGCGCCCTGCGGATGGTGGCGCGGGCGGAAGGGAGATGCCGGCTCTTCTTCCAGCCATGTCAAACACGACTCGAGCCCTTCTCCGGTGCCCGAATATTGCTGCGTTTTTTTCCTCTCTTGCTTGCCCTTGCTCTTATTTCATTTTACTTTTTTTTTTTTCTTTTCACTCTCTCCTATTTCTAAAATTCGTAGAACCATAAAATGCAGAGATGGAAAACGACCTATTACCTCATCCAGCCCAGCCCCTCTGCCAGCGCCGAGCCATTCCCTACTGAACGTCCCGGGTGAGTTGTCTAGACCAAGCCTGACCGTCTCCAGCAATGGGGATTCCAGCACTTCCCTGAGAAGATTATTCCATGCTTTAATTGACCTTATTGTTAGGAAATTTTTCCTGATGTCTAGCCTAGAAAGTTTCTGTGCTAAGTTTGCGCCCATTGCTTGGTTACCCTTCCCTCCTCTTCCCCAAACACCCTGCCCTTCACTGGGCTTGGCCGCGCGCTCTTTCCATCCCGTGAACCTGTCCTCAGGGCCAGGTTCATCCCTCTGACGTTTTGCTGCTTCCTCTACGCCGCATCCAGCTTCCTCTGGGCTTCCTGAGGGACAGCCCCACAACCACGACCCAGGCTGAGTGGAGGGGGAACAGGCAAACCAAGGGCTGGTGGAGCCACGTCTTGAGCTCGGAGATGTCTGACTGAAGTCCCTTTGGGTCTCCTGCTGGTAGGCAGATGAAAAGATGTCCTTGCTCCACATGCTCCCGTCTGCACGACTGTCCTCCCTGCCATGCGGCCAAGGGAGGCTCTGCACGGCTCCCCTCCGGCTGCCCTGGGCTTGCTGCTTCCTGAACCAGATGCAAGGAAAGACGTTCCTGGGCCAGCTCCTTCTCTGGTGATGCAGGTTCTCCACGCACGCTCTGCTACGCACGCAGACCGGGGCTGCCGGGCGGCGGCTTCCAGGTGCGGTGGCAACGTCTGCTCTCTCTGGCGATGCTGCTGTGACTTGCATGTGTTGTAGCCTGCTCTGTCCTCGGCAGAACCACTCGCATCCACAAGGAGCTGCCTGCAGAGCAGTGCCCCGTGTCTCAGCTCTTCCCATGCTTGGCCTCAGCACAGGGCTGAGGAGAACCAGCCTCGCAAACCCTGCAGGTGGGCTAGGGAGTTAGTCACCCAGAGTGAGGCCTCCTCTGATATCAGCCATCCTCGTTGCTGGACAGGGAAGGACAAGGCCTGCATGGAGTATCCGAAAGACATGTCCTGTCTGGGATGTGTGTGGAGCGGCTGTGTTCCTCGGTGCGGAGCCCCATGGAGCCTCATTCCAGCTGAGGAGCCATTGGGAAGGCCATGGAGAGAGAGCCTGGCTCTCCCTGCAGAGAGGAGGCAAGTGGGCTTTTCATCTCCCATGCCCTGGCCCCAGAGGCCGGCTGCTGGCAGCTGGACATGCGTCGTGCCCTGTAGCGTGGGGACGTGTGGCAGCGATGGCAAGCAGCAAGGCACGGGCCTTGCGGATGGCTCCCACAGGTGGGTTTTGTCAGGGATGGCCAGGAAAGCCAGTGTCCTCCCTGCTTGCTGCCGCGCTGTTCACAGCCCACACGGAGCTTTGGAAAGGTTGGAGGTGGGGAGAGCTGCCGCAGGAATTTTGTGAAAGCGGGTCTTTTTCGTTGTTGTTTTGTATTTTTTTTTTTAATGCAGTTGTTGCATTCAGTTCCCAAACAGCCTTTGATGTCGGCGCTTTCCAAGCGTGCTCCGGCTGCATTTCTTTACCCTCCACGGACTGTTTGCTTTGTGTAGGGGGGGTTGCTGCTCTTCCTGTGCACATCCCCCTTCGAACCACTCTCTGGAGCGCTGCCTCCCCCGCTGCATCCCCGCTGCTCCCAGGCACGCATTTCGGGTTGGAAAAACAAGCCAAGGCGCCCGCGCTCGCGAGGGCTCCCGGGGGTTGCGGCAGCC